GTCATGCCCGGCCAGTAGCGTGGCATCGGAGCGCGTGTTTAGTGCGGCAGGAGGTATTGTAACTCCGCGGAGGACACGACTGTCCACCCAAAGTGTGGAGAGACTCACGTTTGTAAAAATGAATCAGGCGTGGATTAGTCTGGATTTCAAACCACCAGTTCCTGACACAACTGACCTAATAACCTAGCCGTTCAGGCCGCTCCCTGAACACCTCGGGAATTGCTTTGTATATCTGTCGCCTTAGAGGCCGCTGTCTGAACAGCTCATGAATTGCTTTCTATATGTGTCGCCTTTGAGGCCGCTGGCTGGACAGCTGATGAATTGATTTGTATATATGTACTTATTGTCCGCTGTCCGGACAGCTCATGAATTACTTTTTGTATATAGCCTTCCAAACCACTCTCAGAATAAGTCATGATATTCATGCTGTGTATAGCCTTATAGGCCAATGGTCAATCAAGTCATGATTGTTTATAGTGTGTATAGCCTTATAGGCCGCTGTCTTTACAACTTTATAATTCCATGCAGTATATAGCCCTATCGGCCACTTTCTGGCATCCAGTTGCTGTAGCCCCCCCATCACCACACTGTGCCACGGGCCACGGGCCCCTGTACCGCCTTCTCATACTGCTGCCAGATCCATCCTCTGCCATGTGTGGTCTTTGTCGTCTGCTCACGCTGCTGGGTTCCAGTTTTAAACCTAGGCCTGTGTATGGCTTCCGAATACTGCTGCCTCCACCGCCACCCTGCGCCATGTGCCTCTGTCGTCGTCTGCTCACGCTGCTGACGGCTTCCGCTTTTTAACCTAGGCCTGTGTATGGCTTCCGAATACTGCTGCCTCCACCGCCACCCACCCTGCGCCATGTGCCTCTGTCGTCTGCTCACGCTGCTGACGGCTTCCGCTTTTTAAACTAGTCCTGTGTATGTCTTCCGAATACTGCTGCCTCCCACCGGTACCCTGCGCCATGTGCCACTTTCAGGTCTCCTTACACTGTTGGTGGGTTCCATTTTGTGATAGGGTGCTGTATGGCCTTCCATTGCTGCTGCCTCCACCGCCACCCTGCGCCATGTGCCTCTGTCGTCTGCTCACGCTGCTGACGGCTTCCGCTTTTTAACCAAGGCCTGTGTTTGGCTTCCGAATACTGCTGCATCCACCGCCACCCTGCGCCATGTGTCTCTGTCGTCTGCTCACGCTGCTGACGGCTTCCGCTTTTTAACCGAGGCCTGTGTTTGGCTTCCGAATACTGCTGCATCCACCGCCAGCCCCTGCGCCATGTGTCTCTGTCGTCTTCTCACGCTGCTGACGGCTTCCGCTTTTTAACCGAGGCCTGTGTTTGGCTTCCGAATACTGCTGCATCCACCGCCACCCTGCGCCATGTGTCTCTGTCGTCTGCTCACACGCTGCTGACGGCTTCCGCTTTTTAACCTAGGCCTGTGTATGGCTTCCGAATATACTGCTGCCTCCACCGCCACCCTGCGCCATGTGCCACTTTCAGGTCTCCTTACACTGTTGGTGGGTTCCATTTTGTGATAGGGTGCTGTATAGCCTTCCATTGCTGCTGCCTCCTCCACCGCCACCCTGCGCCATGTGCCTCTGTCGTCTGCTCACGCTGCTGATGGCTTCCGCTTTTTAACCGAGGCCTGTGTTTGGCTTCCGAATACTGCTGCATCCACCGCCACCCTGCGCCATGTGTCTCTGTCGTTTGCTCACGCTGCTGACGGCTTCCGCTTTTTAACCGAGGCCTGTGTTTGGCTTCCGAATACTGCTGCATCCACCGCCACCCTGCGCCATGTGTCTCTGTCGTCTGCTCACGCTGCTGATGGCTTCCGCTTTTTAAACTAGTCCTGTGTATGGCCTTCAATTGAAGCTGCTTCTGCTCCGCCACTCTGCCATTGGACTCTTGATAGTCGTCTCCCCACGCTGCTGCTGGGGGGACTTTTTAACATAGGCCTCTGTATGGCCTTCAATTTTAGCTGCTTACGCTCCGCCACTCTGCCATGGGCCCCTGTACCTCCTCCTCATGCTGCTGCCAGGCCCGTAATCTGCCATGGGCCCCCGTACCGACTCCTCATGCTGCTGCCAGGCCCGTAATCTGTCATGGGCTCCTGTACCGCCTCCTCATGCTGCTGCCAGGTCCAGAGTGTGTCATGGGTCCCTGCTAGATGGTAGCAAGAAGAGCACCAAATCTTGGTGACCTCCTTATTCATTCAGATTATCAACCATTAAAACAAACAACATGGTTAAAATCACGTACCAAGGGGATGTTTAAGTGTGGAAAATGTCAAATCTGCAAATATGTGGATCGTACGGATTCCTTTTATGACTCAGGAAATAACACTCATTATAAGATTCAGAGTCTCATAAACTGCTCCACAGTGAGAGTATTATATATCTTAACCTGTCCCTGTAAAAAGATGTATGTTGGTAAGACTAAAGACAACAACTCAAAGTACGAATAGGTGAACATCTTAGAGATATTAGATCAAATGACCCTGACAGTAATCTTGCCCAACATTATGCCAAATATCATGGAGGTAAACTGGACGGTACAAAAGTAAAAGGTTTCTATGCACTGCACTTCCCACAAAGGAGAGGTGATTTTGACAGAGAACTGCTTAAAAAGGAGAAACATTGGATATATAAACTTGATACACTGTACCCTAAGGGGTTAAATGTGGAATGTGACCTCCAAGTGTTTTTGGAAAAATAGGTTTATAGGACTATGTACCTGCTTATTGCCATGCGGTGGGCAATTTACGGCATTTTTTTGTCTTTATAAAGGGTTGGACCTTAGATTAAATAACCCCAAAATAAACCTATATATATTGGGAATATTAACAAAAGTATGGATGATCTTATGGTATGAGCTTCAATATAGCTCTAAAAAATGTAAAAGGATTGATTGTCTGGTTAATTATCCCTTAGTACCTCCTCTTTTTGAATAATAACCACACCATAGGATGGTTGCCTGAGAATTGGGGTATTTTTGTTGTAATGACCCTTATGAGAACTCTCAGGTTATATTGCCATCTTGTGGTGTCTTCTGGTAATTTACATTGTCTCCTAAAAAACCTGATTCAATGAATAGAATTGTTGGTTCTCTGATTTATATCGCCATCTTCTGGTTTAAATGTGATAAAAGCGTTAATTGACTGGTATATTTAATTCATGATCTTTTGATCAATATATGCATTTTCAAAATTGCTAAGCCTCTTCCCTCTCTGTTGTTTCCAGCCGTCTGTCTTTTTAATTATATTCAACAAAGACCAGCAGCTGTGCTAAGTATTTAGCCCCCTTTTTTTCTTCCATTAGGAACAATTGCAGGTTAGCTTTTTTTTGCATAAATGGGTGGGTCTTTACCCACTATAAATAGGAAATTGAAATGCAGTTGTTTCATTTGTCCTGACGAAGCTGAGTGAGATACGCCCATCGGCGAAACGCGTTGACGTCATACGTCAGATACGTCACTTCCGGTCATGCGCATTAGGTGGAACGCACGCTGACCCATAAGGAGGAAGCCATCTTCACATGCCATGAGGCAAGTGTGAGCAGCACAAGCGCCAAGAAGGGGCTGGAACCCGCGGTATATCGGCGGATGTCAGCGGTGGTTCCTAGGCCTCTGTGGCCGTGTATGGCAGTACCCATGAAGGACATCTCTTTCATTCCTAATACCCACAGCACAGGTGGTGAGTGGACTGTTACAGGACATTAGATATATGGTCCTCTGTGATCTATATGACACCTATATATCTTATTGAGTGGAAACTCTGTCAGTGACTTCCCACATATCATTTGTCTCACTACAGGATGGGGACATCATGGTGCTTTGTATAGGATACAGGATATACCACATATATTTCAACAGGCAGAAGATCTTTTGGGATATGTCCTGTTTTCCCTACGAAAGGTGGTGTGTAGTCCACATATAGTGGTGAAGATACCATTTCAAGCAGAGTGCTGCTTTTTGCATCTTTTCTTCCACCCTGGGAACAAATGGGGCATATTTTCATTCAAGAGCTCTAGGATACAGCTGTTTATATTACAGATGAATGGGCCCCAACCACGTGTGCCGGCACAGGAATGTATTGCATCATATATTTGACATTTATGTCTCCCTCCATACAGGCCTGAGGCTTGTTGTTCTCTTTTTGACGCATATTGTGCTTGCTGCATTGCATACATGTGATATTTATATCCATAGTACAATTTTTGGATTCCCTGATTGGGATTCACCATAATGGTATTGTTCTATTTATAATATTCAATATTATGGTATGCCTATGGTATAATTTTTGGATACACCTCTTTTGGGAAGTGTTCACCTATGTGTCTGTGCTACAGGGACATTAGACTCCTGCAGTCATTTTTTCTGTTGCACATGCATTTAGACCGGTCTTGGTGTCATTTTATATGGTTTTAGGTCTGTGTGTATTGTCTCATACTGAGGTGATGGTTAACCAGGGCGAATGCCCATATGTCATATTTATATATGTGTAATAAAGCATAATTTTTGGAAATTTTTCTGAGTGTCACGTTCTGTTCATAATGTAGCCGCTTTTTCTGTGAATTTCTTTTCACAAATCCCCTACTTGGACAGCACCCTGCCAACCGAGGTAGACAATCCCCTTGACTACTGGGCAACGAAACTTGACCTTTGGCCCCAACTAGCTGAATTTGCCCTTGAAAGGCTGTCATGCCAGGCCAGTAGCGTGGCATCGGAGCGCGTGTTTAGTGCGGCAGGAGGTATTGTAACTCCGCGGAGGACACGACTGTCCACCCAAAGTGTGGAGAGACTCACGTTTGTGAAAATGAATCAGGCGTGGATTAGTCTGGATTTCAAACCACCAGTTCCTGACACAACTGACTAAATCCGCCATGAATCATGCCCCAAACATGTGCCACTTTCAGGTCTCCTCACACTGCTGGTGGGTTCCATTTTGTCATAGGGTGCTGGCAGATTACGGGCCTCCCATTGCTGCTGCCAGGCCCGTAATCTGCCATGGGCCCCTGTACCGCCTCCTCATGCTGCTGCCAGGTCCAGAGTGTGTCATGGGTCCCTGTACGGCCTCCCATTGCTGCTGTCTCCATCGCCACACTCTGCCATGTGCCACTTTCAGGTCTCCTCACACTGCTGGTGGGTTCCATTTTGTCATAGGGTGCTGTATGGCCTCCCATTGCTGCTGCCAGGCCCGTAATCTGCCATGGGCCCCCGTACCGACTCCTCATGCTGCTGCCAGGCCCGTAATCTGTCATGGGCCCCTGTACCGCCTCCTCATGCTGCTGCCAGGTCCAGAGTGTGTCATGGGTCCCTGTACGGCCTCCCATTGCTGCTGTCTCCATCGCCACACTCTGCCACGTGCCACTTTCAGGTCTCCTCACACTGCTGGTGGGTTCCATTTTTGTCATAGGGTGCTGTATGGCCTCCCATTGCTGCTGCCTCCACCGCCACACTGTGGCTCCACACTCTGGTTTTGGCCCTGTGACTGCCCAAATGAGTGAAGTGTGCGGTGATTCTAAGATCGACGGCACTCATCTGCATGTCATACTGACTGACAGTATTATTTCTCTTCCCCAGCAGACTCCAAGGGCATTTAAATTAAAGGTACAGTGTTCTGCACTAATATAAAGGCTCTCTGAAGCCTAGAAACACCCTTTTATAAGTTAAATTCGCAGCGAATATATTCGCCTCGAATCGAATTTATTCCTCGAATTCGCCGAATCAGCCGAATCGAATTTTTGAATACTTCGCTCATCTCTAGTTATCATTATGATTTAAAAATGAGCCAAACACCTATGTGATAATAAATGACTTCATATGATCACTATCCTTAAATAAAAGACATGTTTTTTTGCATGATCAGTCCTATTTTCACTATCAATGACACAATTTGTAGATTTCTGTCAGGTTATGCAAGCTTTTGAGCACAACTGTATTTCTTGCCTTGACTATTGCAACTCCATCCTTGCTGGCCTACTTTTTTACATAGGCTATCCCCCTTCAGTCTATCATGAATGTTGTTTCCAGACTCATCCACCTTACCAACTGTTCAGTGTCCACTACCCCTCTCTACCAATCCCTCTATTTGCTTTTGCTCCTCCACCTAATAAAATTCAATATACTATCAACAACCTGCAAAACCATCAAAAACTCTACTCCCAGCTACATCAACAACCTTGTCTCAAAATACCAACTAAATCATTCTCCAGGCCTCCTGCCATGCCACCTCCAGCACTTCTCCATAGCCTCTTTCATTCTCTGGAACTCCTTACCCATATCTGTTGGACTTTCTCTTTCTTATCCATCTTTAGGCAATCCCTGAAAACCTATCTCTACTGTCCATTTTTTAAAACACTGCACAAACTGTTGGCACTATAATATTCCCATATAATAACAATAAAACCATTCCCTCTTTGATAGTTGTCCACATGACAACTGTTTCCATTTACCCTCTATTCCCGTACAGGTGACAAGTCAAAATTTTTCACTTTCCCTCACTTTCAGTCCTCATAAAAAGGATCACCAATACAAATAGAAAAGAAGGTGAATATTCCTAGCAGGGGCACAGACAGCAATAACAATCTGATAAGGTTTTTAGCAATTCCTTGTTTTGTCCAAAATTAAGAGAGTTTGGGCTTTATGTACCTTTCAAGTTGGCCACATACATCAATTTTGCAGTGTTATTTTTTCAATTCAGTTGTAATTCAGTTTTTTATTGCTTGTTGTATTATAATTTGTCTCCCTACATGTTTTGCTGGTCAATTCAAACTTCAATCAAACCTCATAGGTTTGAGCGATAGGTGGTGGGAACCTAAAACCATTCCTGAGGAGCTGCTGTCTGTAGACTTCTTGCTGGTACAGCGAGGGATACAAATGCTAAAACTGTCAACTTAAAGTCCCAATCTGAGCTGCTGTTTAGAGATGTGCATGAACAAAAAATGTTTGTTTAGTTTCAGATTAATTTATTAAATTTATAATTTAGTTTCATCATATTCGTTATGTTAGAATGATTCATTTTTGGAATTCATTTAGTGTATTTGGAATTTGTTTCATATATTTAGATTAGTTTCATATAATCGAATTTGGCTAGTCTGTCCCACAAAGAGAAATGGGATGAGCTGATTGGATGATATCCCAAAAAATTTGTTGAATTAAATTAAATATGGGATTCATTCATTATGTTAATTTGTTAGAGAAGTGGAATGGGCTGATTGGATGATATCTGAAAGAACAAATGGTACAAAATTAATTTCTGATTAATTTGTTTTGTTATGATTCAGATATTCTGATGGCTTCACCTTTATCCAACCAAAACACAAGTAGGAGATTGGAATCATCATCTTATTTCACTTTTATATGTTACTGAATTTATTGCAACAAGTTTCCATTTCAACACGAGTGCATTTTTTTATAATAATGAAAAATGTTAATGCATAATAAAAATGAAATGGATCCAAAAGAAGAAATGGAATTAAATTAATTTCGGATTCATTTGTTATGTTGTTATGCTATTTCAGATTCTTCAAACATTAACAAAATGCGCAAACTATTGCATCACGTCAAATGAAAACAAATGAATGCAAATTAATTTTGTTGTTTCGTTATAATTTATTTTGGATTAACTGAAATTTCTTAGTATTGTGATTCGGAGATTAGTAAACATTCGAATCACTGAATAACGAAAATTCTGTCCAAATTTCGATTTTTTTTACCAAACTAATCCCACACATATCTACTGCTGTTAAATTTACCCATGTAGTGGGTTTCCTCCTCCACACTTCATGGATTAAAGTAAATGTGTGTTTGGCTAAGGGGGAATGGAGTACATTGAAATATTGATTTTATGCTCCTGCAGGCCACTTGCTATCCATGTGAGGCTTCACTTTGCTTCCTGGCTGGCTGTGGTCTCCAACATCATCATGTGCAATGCAGGATTAGCAGTCCTACATTGCAATTGAGGATGCAAGGGACCACACACATTCTAGGAGTGTCAGACTGTAGATGAGAGTGCTGGCTGTGCGGGAACTAGGAATCAGGTAAATATGTGTACTTATTCCTTTACACCCTAGCCAAATGAACCTTTAATCCATGCAGTGTAGAGAGTGGGGGTGGACCACTGTATGGGTAAATTCATAGCAGTGAGGGTTTAAGTGTCAATCACTGTGTGTTACAGCTTTCAGGCTTAGCAGTTGCCACAACACCAGAGAGAACAAGATATCAGTTATCAGACAGACACTCTTAGCAGCTGCCTCTGCAGGGCCAATTTCAGTGAAAACACAGATCTATTTTTTATCCTGCTTAATATGATTAAATAAAACCCCTGAAGCCCCATCATTCAATTTTAGACAAAAATAATCATTCCTTGGACAAAAATGCTATAACCCTAAACTCTACCAGAAAACAGGAAGTCCCTGTCTATAAATACATTATAATTTATCACTGATTTCAACTGAAGGAAGTTACTTGAAACAGTATTATTAATTATCATTAAGTGCCATCAAATCAATGTCGGCTCCTGGTGACCCCAACTGTTTCTCCAAAATTTTCTTCTGTTAGGGTTCTAAGCCTTCATAACAGCATGTTCATAATATCTGTGACCAATCTATCTATCTGTAACCTATTGAAATGGTGTTAGATGCAGTACTTTAAATGGACATCAGATGGCGGTGGCCTGCCATTCAGGGTCATTCATATGTATGCTGAACAGCAAGACTTGAATGGTGGGCAGGGCACTCAGGGACTACATTTCCCAGAGGAGGTGACGTGTGGGCATATACATATCAATGCCCGGGAGACTTGGGGGAGAGTAGAGTGGAGGAGAGAGGAGGAAGGGTACTGATGACTGAAGTAGACCGCAGAGCCGGAGTTAGAGAAGGAGAAGGAGCGGAAAGAGCCTTCTGATTGTCCCGTATGCCATGCTGTCCAGCGAGCCAATCTGTCAGCAGAAGAGCTGACAGGATGCCGGATTGGAACTGGAGAGTCTGTGTGGGCTCCCTATCTGCTGGAAAAGCAGAATTGCTAAAATCTGCCGTACCACACTGATCAAGTGAGAGAACCCCAAGTATCCACTAAGAGAACATTAGCAATTTCATCTCCTCAGCTATCTACCTGCACATAGTTGTGAACATTACATATAGTTGCCCAAGGTTGCAGCCTAGTTCTCCCAGCCGCCACTGCTGGAATACATCTGCATTACAGTCTCATCATCTAAGATGACCGCAGTGCCAACTGAATCAACATTTTCCCTACTACTGTTGCTTTTGGCCTTTGACATCCAGACAGATTTGTCCTTGTCCACAAACATTTATGCCAATTGTTACCCTCCACTATTTGAAGCCTGCCTTTTTTTTCTAGTGCTTTAAAGTGAACCCTACACTAATTCACTACCAGCAAAAGGAAAAGTGTTAAATCCTTCCTTTCCTCCTCATTATTATTGTATTGCCATTTTGAGAAACTAACATCTCCACCATAACAAATTTCATCCAAACTGGGCCCCAACAAGCACACAGAAGACTCTATAGTATGCTTAAAAGGACATTGGTCAATTATAAATGAGAGGTCTCTTCACTTCACATTTAATCCCTGTCTAGTTCTGAGGACTCACAGCGAGCTTAAAACAACAAACAGAAAATTGATGTTGCGCTAATCACAATAATGCCACAGACATTCCAAAACAAATAATGACACGAGAAGACAATAGATAATACACCATAACATAATCAGTAAATGGAAGGAATATGGGAGTGAAGGGAAAGGTGAAATAAAAAAAGGTCTAAAATGAGGACCAATACGTTTAACAGACAATAAACCGTGACCGTGGGCAAAATGCACGGAAATGATCAGGGAAAAATAAAATATTAACTAACTCACAGTAATAGTGGGACATACAGTATGAGTCCGTCATAACATAAATGAAATAACATGAATACAACTAATGAGAAAGTGGAGCAAAATGTGAAAAATACAAAATGAAGTGTTTAATATTAAAAGTGGACAAACCACTTATCACAGAAGAATGACAATAACAACGCACAGTGAGAACAAAAATTATGACCATGCGACTAAAGAGTCAGAACACAATGTGTATCAAAAGTCCATGTGACATAAAACGACTAATAAGTGACCATATAAATACCATAAATAAATGTGGAAAACATATATAGAGTGCAACTAGTATAAAACAGAAAATGGTGATACAAACCCACAGTGAAATCAAATGGATGTATTATTGTGCATCGTAAAATACAATAACACAATGGAGAAATAAATAACATGCGACTAAAAAAAATCATAAATGGGACATAAAGTACATGTTCAAAAAAGTCCAACAAAAACGCATAAAAAAAAAAAAAACACAACATGGATGGGTAAATGATTGTTGAATCCCAAACTGGCGAAATTGCCTCCTCACCTCCATGCCCAGACCCCAAGGGGCCAAAAGGCTTTCAGGACACTCACTGTAGGGGCCCTTTAAGTGGAATCCCAAATGGCGATGTAGGGATGATATCCCCCTCACTGGTGGACCATACTGTTCAGCTGTGGTAATATATCTTTCACCTTTGGACACGGAAATCCACCAGCGCACAGAACTCCTGCCAGGGGTTCGTTGGACCAGAAAAAACAGCCAG